AAGAAAGAAAGAAAGAAAGAAAGAAAGAAAGAAAGAAAGAAAGAAAGGCTGAATTTATTAAGGGACATTGTAACTTAAAGGTCCCTGAGAACAGGCAGGAGTAACCTGAAATGTATACTGTGTCCTTACTCACCAAACTGAACACTTGAACACCAAGAACTTGACTTTTTTTCTTCTCCTGGGTATCTGGGAAGTTAAAACACACACACACACACACACACACACACACACACACACACACACTAATTGACGCTAAATCCCACATTATTTCCTCCTTCCCCATTCCACCCCCTGGTTTGTTGCCAGTTTCCTGCTCCTAGGTGTGAATCCACCTGAGGGCAATTAACTCTCTAAACTCCGGGGAGCCAATTAGCAGAATAAGAGCAAGTGGACCTACAGGGTCCCGAGAGCTTTCGTCTAATCCCTTATTTTGCAGTTCAAGTGACAGCAGCTCAAGGGGTGTGACACACACAAGGCACATTACCATCACCTTAGGCAAGTCTTTAGAGGGTATGGGCCTTGGCGCCTCCTCTGTGGGGGGTCTGGGCTAACTGAACAATTTCTAGGCTCATCCTCAGGGCCAGGGCTATGTTGAGGGTGTTACTTCATCCACCTCTGTACCTCCATATGTGATTCCCTTCAGTTATAGTTGAGACTACCAAAACACAGAAAAGCTCAATAACCTGCCCAAGATCAGCAACTAGGGAATATTGCAAAGCTGGTCTAGGAACCCACTAAAATCCACCTCCAGAATTCTTAAATCCTAATTATTAAATCCCTTTCAAGGGATGCCCATCATGTTATACTTTTTAAACAAAAAAAGTTTAGGTTGTCTATAAACAACCTAAGAGCTGAGTTGGTAAACTTTGGTTTTTGGTTTTCGGGTTTTTTTGTTTGCTTGATTTTGGTTTTTCAAGACAGTTTTCTGTGGCTTTGGAGCCTGTCCTGGAACTAGCTCTTGTAGACCATGCTGGCCTCGAACTCACAGAGATCCACCCGCCTCTGCCTCCTGAGTGCTGGGACTAAAGGCGTACACCACCACCTCTGGGCTGGTGAACTCTAAAGCTAGCAGCTAGTATCCCTGTTGGTTCTGCCTCCTCTAGGCTTCTCCTGCTGTCCTATAGCAGAGGCGGGTACAGGCATAAACTGTCCAGCCCGCAGAGTGCATAGACTGTCCAGCCCTCAGAGTACAGGCATAGACGGTCCAGCCCGCAGAGTACAGGCATAGACTGTCCAGCCCGCAGAGTGGAAACTAGTCACTCTGGCTATACAGAAACTGTCTGCTAAGCTCTGTCCAGAGCCTTCAAAGACTTGCTTTTGCAATGGTACAGCAGCTGACACTTTGCCTAGGCACATGTCATTCCTCAGGATGGTTCCTTACTGTCATTCATGTGATAGAAAGGAAGCTACAACTCAAGAACTTAAATGACTGCCTGATTTAGGCCACGGAAGTAGAAGGTGACCAAGCCACAGTCTTAGGTTTTGGCTCTCAACGACAAGCTCTTTCCTGAAGTCACCTTGGCACCCTAAGTGTCTTCCTCTTACTGTCAGGCAGGGGCTTGGGAACACAAAGGAATCTAAGCACTGCCAGCAAGTTCTTCTGGCTTCGGAGACGATCCTTCCCGAGTCCCTCAATGGAAGGAGGGTCATCCAAGGGTAAAAATTTTACATTTGGGATCAACTTGGAAGGAAAAGTTATGCCTTAAACAAAGTCATGACAATCACAGAAAATACATTTAACATACATAGCACATCCAGAAGCACTCTTCCCCATAATAATCATTCCGCAAACATAGGCTAGTTTTACATAAATTTAATGCAAAAGGTGTAGGTAAAACAATCCATAACAATTTAATTACAAAGCTTTACCAAAATAATTTTTTTTTTCAGGAAAAAAGAAACCACAGGCACTTCTAGTCTGAAAATACAAGCTTAGAAAAAAAAATTGTATGATTCTGAAATATGGCTTAGCTTTAAGAACTTACTTGAAATACACAATGTGATATGACTAACCTTCCATTTTCAGATTGGTTCTGTAATAGATTTTGATATTTAATTTCAAGAAATGTAAAATGCATATGAAGGCATCGCAAACTCACTGCAAATAAGGACATATATATGCACACACACACATATATATGTATATATATATATATATTTAATCAGCTGCCTAAATCATGTGAGGCATCATTACTTCCTTAGCCCAGGGAAAAGTCAGGTGTTCTCTCTTCACACTTCACAGAAGAGGGACTCTATGCTCAGAGTCACCCCTCAGCCCAGTGTTCCCCCAGCTGGAAGGCAGAGTTTACCAGATTACCAAATCCTAAACTCTCTCCTTCTGCCCAGTGTAGATCTCTAACAACACTGAGACCCATGGTCAACATTTCATCAATACTCATTTTAAAAACAAAACTTTTAAGCTAGGTGTGGTGATGCACACCTTTAATCCTGGCCCGCGGGAGGCAGAGGATGGTGGGTCTCTGAATTCAAGGCCAGCCTGGTCGAGGAGAAGAGAGTTCTAGGACTCTACAGAGAAACTCTGTCTTGAAAAAACAAAACAAACAAAACCCAGAACTTTTGTTTTGCCTTTGCTCGGTGGCTGGTGTTCTGTAATTGCGGTTCTGCCCACACTATAACACTTGAGGGAGGAAACATTATTCACAGCTTTTAATTACTGCCTTTTCCTTTATGGAAGAGAAAGAACAGAAACACCTGGACCTAAGCTCTTGGACGCAAACCTGATCTAAACAGCAGCAGAACTCTAATCTTGGAACCTGCCCATAACAGTGACAGAGGGTCCTAGCGTGACAGACAGCGTGAAGCCTTCTGATTTATGAATGATGCTTTATTTTTGTGACCAAAATCCCTATTCACTGTGGCAGTGGTAGATCAGAGAAGGCACTTCTTACACCTTTCTGTACCTCCCTGGGGAGCTCAAGCCCAGTGTTTGGCACACACAGGCACGCCCTGACTTCTGTTGAACTTGGAAAGTCCAGGAGTGTATTTTCAAGATTGGTCCACAGATAGGCTCAAAGGCACTAGAATCAGTGTACTGAGATACAGATTCAGAGGAGAACCTGCAGATTTTAGCATTTAACAAAGAAAAGACAACTAATCTGAAGGCACTACTTCAGTTCCATTTGACAACAACAAGGACAGAAACAGAACAACCATATAACAGACACACAAAAAGATTTTTTTTCCCTTTTGCACAAACCCATAGTTCATCAAAGTCTCTTTTACTGTTCTCTCTGCACAGCACTGCCAATGCTGCTTAAGGACTAACATTCTAGTTTAAATTTCAGATCCAGCCGAGACACGAAATAAACAACTTTGTGGACATGACACTAACATTGATGTCTCTTCCGTTGTAAACACTGGTTAGGAAAAGGGCAAGAAGATACATGTGCTTCTTCATATCTGTATTTTTAATGCTTTCTTAATCCAGTTTATAGGGACGTATGAAGACAGAAGAAACAATTAGGAGGTGATCGTTCACATTATGAAGGGATTTCCCATTTATTCCTATTAAATACCGTCCTCTCCTAGGGCCCTGAATTTGACGTGTTGCTTAAATGCAGCTTGTCAGGAATAGGTTTCTAGTGCGAAGTGAGGTGCATCCACATCTTCACCTTGACTTTCGGCTGAGGATAATCTTGCCTCTTATTTCTATTCACAGGCTGGGGACACCAACAGCTGGTGAAGGAAATCAATGGCTTCTATTTTCCAGGATCGGATGGTTTGAGGAATCCAACCATCAAAGAAAAACCCACTCTGGGCACAGTCCTCCCTCCATCTCACACTCAGCAGCTTTCAAAACCAGTGGTTTGCTCCTCACTGGTCCAAGCAACGGTGGGCTAGAGAATTTAGAGGCCGCATGGCCAGAAGGAAAAGCCACTTCTTCACATGGATGGCAGTAAGGAAGAGAGCCTCCATCCTCACTCAGGACACCACTGCCCCCAACAGAGAGCCAGCCCAGCTCTCTGTAAAAAGTCACATGGGTCTGGGAATTTTCCCATCCCATCTTTGTGCCAAATAATATTAATCGGTATCTCATCTTTTTCCCATCAAGCAGAATTGGGCATTTAAAAACTTCAGCCGAGATGTAGTCAATTCACAGCAGAGTGGCCTCACCGCTCAAACCAGCCTGCCAAGTTGCGAATACTCTTGGGCTGGTCCCCAGAGGTCTGCACAGCTTGGCATGTCCGGCACCACGGCTCATCCCAGAAGGAGGTAATGTGCACGGCATAGCTCCGGCGCCAGTGGAAGTAGCGGCGATAGACAGCCACGTTTCGGTCAAGAAAGAGCAGGTAGGCTGCCAGGGAAGCAGCACTAGGGAAATCATCCACGTGGATGAAGGCACCACGAGGCACAAAGCGCTCATAGTTGGCACGGTCAGGACCTAACACCACGGGCACGGCCCCGGCCAGGAAGGCATTCCGCCACAGCTTCTCAGTGATGTAATCCACGTGCTGCGAGTTCTCAAAGGCCAGGTAAAACTTGTAGCGGGCCACAGTGTGCAGCAGTCCGCTAGCTGGCACCGGCTGTCCGGGTCCCGCCCGACCAAACACGTCCACAGGCACATGTCGGCTCAGTTGGTAGTAATAACTGACCCGTGCCTGGCGTTCATCCCAGTGGCTCACAACCCAGGCCACCAGGCCCCGCTTGCGGGCCAGCTGGGGGGCCAGACCTGATGGCTGGTCAGTTGGGTGACTTCTGGGGTAGAGGAAGCCATAGGGCACGAAGATATCCGAATCGGCCCGGTAGGACAAGGTCCAATTGAAAAGATTCTTAGCCAAGCCTCGCAACCCAGGGGAGTGGGTGGGTGATTCGAAGTTCATCCACACCCAGCGCTGACCCGGAGGTCTAGAGCCTGCTAGCATCGCCGCTCCCTCATGGTCGTCGAATACGCGTAGCTCCAGAGCCTCGTCCGTGCGCACTTGGGCACCCCAGGGCGGGGGCCAGTCGGGGGGTCCGTTCACCAGATCGCGGTGGTGGAACAGCACTGCTTGAGCTTCCCCGTAGGCCGCGCGGTCGGTGAGCAAGCGGCAGCCGCTGATGTTGAAGCGCAGGCTGCAATCAGGGGGAGGCCTGGAGTAGCCGCTGCGCCCGGCAAAAGGTTCCCACCAGAGCAACACGCTAACTGGGCGCGGCGGGGCTGGGGACGCCCAGGGCAGCTGCGGCAGCTGTCCCCAGCAGATGCAGGCGGTCAATGCTGTGCACAGCAGCCCTGCTGCAGCCAGCGCAGAAGAGCTCAGGGCTTGTCGTCCCCATGCAGAGCCCAGGAGCCGCCGCCTCGGTTCGCCACGCGTCCACCGACCGCGAGGGGCGGCACCGGCTCTCATACTGCCGCTC